AAACTCAATTTTTAAAAAAATGTAAAAATGGGCTGTTTCTATTGTCTGCACCCCATATGAATATCACATGATTACTATTAAAAATGATCTATAAACACCCTATTCTTAAGTGTCTATTACTCTAAACAAAAATTTATAAATAATTTTAGAAAAGTTATATTCATAACACCATGTTATATAACACCTTTTGCAATATCTAAAAAACATACTAAGTAAATGGGTGTAGGTACTCTAAGTAAAAATAATCAGCACCTCTGAGAACCTTATAAAAACTAAGATTGGAACCTATTAGGACCTTATGTCTAATATATATTGTATAGTATAATAAAAAATCTTAATGCATCTTAAAACCGGACCCTAACCCTAAGTAAAACATATAGAGTATTATAATAACACGGTGTTATGAATATAATATTTCATAATTTTATTATATATTAGACCTTTCTAACTTTCATTATCACGTGAGGATCTACATAACTTATCCAATAGCAAGTCTCGCTTTGATGTACCGTTACACGATCATGAAAATCAAAACAAAATATTCGTTTATTCACAAAAAAAATTCCTCACTAACGTTTAACTTTATTATAAACACTAACTCTAACTCTAACTTAAAACGAACTTAAAGCTTTTGCCGTGCGCTATTTCACTGTTATGTGATAGTGAAATTTTAATGGTGACGCAGGGGAGGATTTTCTTTGCCATGGCAAGGGTACTCTTCACTATATGGGTAACGTAGTGATTTTAATAATAAAATTAGTAAACGGACTGGCAAAAATGTCATAATACATAATATTGAATCTGTTATAGCGTTTTAATTTCCTATTGAAAATTCGGTACTTCGAACTTAGCCCGTTAAAACCGGTGTAAGAATGTCCGTTATATCGATAGTTGACAGTAAATAAATAAATAAAATTTTAACCTGTTATATTAGTATATGCTGTATCAGAAGTAATATAATTACCTATCAGCTATATATATTTATAATTATTGTGGATTAATTACTTAATAAAGAACCCGTTAAAAAAAATAAATAACTTTATTAAATCAAATTTCTATTGAAGATTTTTACTAACAATAATTTGATGCATAAGTTGATAATTCTCTAAGTTGCTCGTGATAGAATGTTTACACACATTCAAAGAACCAATGCTATCTGTTTCTAAAAAGCCTAAGGCAAATATTCGTAAATAAGAGAAATGCAAAAAAAAATTTAATGTACTCACCTTTTGGTCCGTAATCTTTGAACACGACGAAGCTGTTTGGGGCAGTGGAATAAAATTTTACAAGAAATAATATTTTTTTAAAATTTAAGAAATTGTTTTGATGGACAATCATAAGCTAGTTTGCATGACTCAATCCGTTTATTTTCTAACATGGATTCAAACAGCTATTTACCATAACCGGTTCGCTGAAAGCTATCATGTAAAAATCTAAAACACATAACGGCTCAATTTCATGCTGTATTCCTACATCATCCTTGTTGTTTCAAATAATGTTATTATTGCACTCGGCTGGATATGCTTAATAGATCAAAATGCAACCTACTATAATAAATAAATTCTTGTTTCCAACTTTAAGAATTCCGATTACTTGTGTGCTTTTGTTGATCCTTCATTATATAAAGGCTATGTAATGAGTTTTTAGTTTGACAGCGGTTGTTACAACATTTTTAGGTTTTGAGCCTTAAAATTATAATTGATATATTAAGATGACGTAATTTGATAAAATACGAGGGAAATGTAATGATATGAAAGTGAACCTTTGCCGATGCTTCACCCATGGTATCAATAATTAAGCAGAGGTGAATTTCCCTCCTTATCATTTAAGACGACAAGCCTTTTTGAGTTTACATTGCAATCGATGTTTAGGTATAAATTTGTGACGAGAATTATCTTGGTATTTCCCCGGAATGCAACAAGGTCCGCGAAGAAATCACGGAATAAACTCCATTACGATAATTTCCACCAGAAATGGATAAGGAAATTAGATCATTATATATTTGATTTGATAAAAATCATGCCATGATCACGTGATCGATCTAAGCATTTTTTTCATATATAACTGTATAAGTTGACAAAATTCTTCTCATTTCTAAACTTATTTTCGCAATTTTAATTCCGAATTCAATATGTCACATTCTGAAGATAATCTCTCTGAAGATGATGAAAGTCGTTATGATGACACAGACGGAGGCTGGCACGATGACGAGGGTGGTGACGATCAGGATCCTACAGGAGAGGAGGATGACGAAGACGAGGAAGAAGAAGAGGAGGAAGAAGAATCAGGCTCGAGCAAGCGAGTACGTATGTTTGTGTATGTTTCTCACCATGTATATGTGTCTGATATCAACCGTATATTTTTTGAAAAAAAAAATTTGTTCAAATGATAAAAGATATTCAATTGAAAACTTTTTGTTCGAATATGTAGAAAACAAAGAAAATGCGAAAAGATGACCTAAAAAATTTCTTCTTGCTGGAAGCTGACGTTGACGATGACGAAGAAGAAGAAGATGAGGATGATGAGGCAATTTTATCTCAACGTAATATTGATTTGTCTAAAACTTATTATCGTAAAATCTGGACGCAGGTGCCCCGGGTATTTTCATTACTCAATTCCGGGTGTATTTCGAGACAATATGTTTTACTATACTATCCGGTTTGATATATATATTGTGTACTCGGGTATAATCACTGTCTAGCTCTTAAAACCGGCAGAGTACACGCCATGGGGTATCTGCGTTCGAACTTTACGGTAAATCTGAAATGAATTTTTATCGTATTACATTATTCATTAATTTTTATTTACACCGTCAGAATTCATTGATAATCGTGATGAGCTTGATGAGTTGCCATCTTCTTCCCGCGAATCTCGGCGCATGGCTATGGAACTTGATCGTAAGGCGCTCGAGGCAGAGAATTTAGATGCCGAAGAACTTGCTCAGCAAATGAATGTGCGTTATGGTCGTCGCCGAGGCCATCACATTCAATCTGATTCTAGTATACCAGTACAGTATATTCCAGATGTACATCAACCAAACATGTTTGTTATCAGATGTAAAGTATGTATTTAATCATTTTATTGTTTGTTTAATTGACATATTGACGTCGTCAATTACTAACATTTGTTGTTTATAATATTGTAGCCAGGAAAAGAAAAAGACGTTGTTATTCAATTTATGAAACAATTCAAAGAGAGCGAGTACTCTCAGCATCCACTTGAAATTTTGTCTGTCACATGTAGAGATGCGTTAAAAGGATATGTATACATCGAGGCCTGGAAACTAGCACATGTACAAAAGGTAGATCATACTACTAGTCTTTTTAACCATAAAATCTTTATTGTTATATGTTTCCTCATTCAGCTTTGATATTGGCTTTATAGGCCATGGTAAACATAAATAACCTATTTTTATCGCAAATAAAACTTGTACCATTGGGCGAAAGAACACATGTATTGACAATTAAAAGGAAAGATGTTAAGCTTAAAGAAGGCTCATGGGCCAAAGTAAAAAAAGGAAAATACGCTGGTGACTTAGTTCAGGTATTTCATATTTTACACAGTTATTTCGTTATTAATTTATCTTCTCTTGCCTATAATTTTATAACTTATTTTCTATTAATTTTTATTAGATTGCAGTTGTTTACGAAGAGGGTAGTAATGAAGTAAGAATAAAATGCGTCCCGCGTATGGATGAGAAGGAGGCAAAAACGATGTCTGTTAATCCGTCAAAGCGAAAAAAATCGACATCTACATCGACAGTCAAAGTCTATGATAGAGGTTATTCGGAAAAAGATATAAAAATCACAAATCTAGTAAGACAAATTCATTTTATGTACTACAGTATATATCGTTTTGTAAAATAAGAGATGAATTAAATTACAACTTTCGTAGAATCTGGATGTGAGTCCAACAATGGATGAGATTACGCTGTTCCTTTCAGCGGCTGATACAGATGGTTTGTATATTCACTCGGTACATATGTAAGAGGATGTTAAATTCGTTGGTTTAACTCTATTATATGATATAGAGAATAGTAGGTCTGAATCATCGCTTGGTTTGCCCACGAAGGTTAGATTTGCGCCTGGTGATGAAGTTGAAGTTATAATGGGAACGGAGCGTGGAATTTATGGTATTGTGGATAGAGTGGATAAAGACCGTGTTACTTTCACTCGCCATAAATCCACACAACAAGTGACTTTCCTCGCGGATTCACTAGCAAAGAGATTCAATATAGGAGATCATGTTCAAGTGCTTAATGGATCTCATCAAGGAGAAGCCGGCATGGTTGTCAATATTGACAAAAGTAGAAGCCAAATTACTTTATTATCTGATATGTCTATGTCAGAAGTAAGTTATTTATTTATACATTATGTGAGTTTGTACAACAAATTAATTTGAAAGTTAATTATATTTAATTTGTAGATTAAAGTGTTCTCTAAAGATCTAAAGAAAATATCAGAATCTACAAATGGGAAACCGTCCGGTGCCGAGTTCGAGTTACACGATTTAGTTAAACTCATTTCGTAAGTATTTTGTCATTTTTATCAATGCATAATTGAATCAAACCAACATATTGTGTTATGAATTATGTAGAAACACTGTGGGCGTGATTGTTAATGTTGATGCGAATTCTTATCGTGTGGTTGAATTAAAGGATGGTGTTGGTGTTCTTTCTGATTATAAACAGGAAGAAATAATTGGAAAAGAAGATCCAAGACCATCAGCAACGTCTCTTGGAAAAAACCAAGTTGTTTTGAAAGTAGGAGACGCGGTTCAAGATAGCAGAAATGAGGTAAGGAAGTTTTATTGCGGTTTAAATGTATTACACATTTTTAGAATACAACTAAACTTCCAATATTTTATATAAGAACCGTGAAGGTAAAATACTTTATATTTACCGAAAATATGCCTTTGTATTAAGTCGTGGCGGTTTTGGCGAAGATGGGGGTGTATTCGTAGTCGAATGTAACACGCTTACGAATAATAATACAAGAACGGTATGTAACTTATTGTACTTGCAAATAAGTTGATGGATTTTCATGTTTTAATCTGTTGTCTATATATTAGGCTGGAATCGCCCTTGATAAATTGAATCCAGAAGTATTCTCTGCCGTGCCAGCCCAATACCAGAATCCACCTCAATATCGATCAAACTTTAATTATAGCGGTCGTGGACGAGGTGGTCGTGGTGGCCGTGGTGGTGGATACGGCAGGCATCGTAAGCCTGATCCACTTATCGGACAAACGGTTACTATTATAAAAGGGCCTTACAAAGGCTTTATTGGTATTGTAAAGGAAACGACTGTGTTAATGGCGCGGGTAGAATTACACACTAATTGTCAGATTGTAAATGTAGAGAAGACTAAGCTGCATACTATTGAGTAAGGATTTACAAGTTTTTTTTTTTTTTAAAAAAAAAATTTTTTTACTGCCAATAATTAACATATTGTGAATGTTTAGTGCAAATGGCAATAGTCGGCCTGTTGTTTCCGCACAAGATGTTTCAGCGGGCAGAAATAGCCGAGAATATAGTCCAGCACCATCAAATTATTCAGGTTCTAGCTGGCAATCAAGCAGCGCAAGAACACCTTCTTCATGGAACGGTTCACGAACTCCCACTTGGCATAATGCAATGACTCCAAACTCAAATACTACTGAAGGTTCACGCACACCATCTTCATTTGCTGAGGGATCTCGCACACCGGCGGTTCATTTTAGCGAAGGATCTCGCACACCTGCTTGGGATCTTGATAGCAAAACTCCTGCTTATAATGGTATTGATGGTTCGAGGACACCTGCTTGGGATATTGGAAGTAAAACTCCTGCATATGCTATAGATAGTGGAACTCGCACTCCAACGTGGGATAGTGCATTTCCAGCAACGCCCGCGGCTGAAACCCCAAGCTTTACAGCGCCAACACCTGCGGCTGAAACCCCAGGATTCACAGCTCAAACACCTGCAGCTGACACTCCAGCAGCATTCTCAGCTCCAACGCCTGCAAATACGGGAAGTCTAATGGTTCCCTCTACACCAGGTCCTGGGCCAACGACACCAGCAAGCTTTTTGCCCCAAACACCATTCGTCCCAGCTAGTACAATCCCAACCGGTGGAGACTTTAGACAGATCAAACATGACGGTAAGAAATTTACATTTAAATTGGTAATGAATATTTTACTGATATTTTTGTTTACCTTTTTTTTTTTTTTTTTTTTTTTTTTTTTTTTTACATATTTCGATAGCTGTATCATCTTCTAAAGAATGGCTCACTACTGACATTCAAGTTCGAGTTGTTCCAGATTCTAGAACAAATTCATCTCATGCTGGTGGGCAATATGACAATCGTGTAGGCGTTATCATCCATTTGGAATCGCCTACAACTTGTATTGTAGAATTAGAAGAGACACAAGAGCGTTGTTTATTTGAACAACGATTTTTGAAACCTGTCCTTCCTCAAAAGAAGGAAAGGATTAAGATGATAGGAGGAGAGCATAAAGGACAATTAGGGATGTTGGTGGGTGTGGACGGTGCTGATGGTGTAGTAAAAGTCAAAGGTGGAAAAGATTTCAAGATTGTGAACATGAATATGATGGCTAAATACATGGGAGAAGAGGTTGCAGATGAATTATTATAAACGCTAATTTTTGTAACTTGTAAGATTTAATTCTTGGTTTGCTATCCATTTCAATTTGTATTTTGTTTTTTTTAGTAACAATTTTTTTAAACAAATGCTATTGCAAATGTAAAAATTTTACTTTCATGATTTGTTGATTCGCATTAGTGATTTGAATTTGGCATTTTTCACACTGTTTCTAACTTGTGATAAAACAATTATTTAATTTACACGTTAAGCCATTAATATTGAATATAAAAAAATAATCGAAACTTGCCTGATTTAGAATTAGTGCTGGTTAAATTTAGACAGTCCAATACTAACACTCGAATGTTCGAAAATATAATTGTTTCAATAAATGAATATTCGAATATAATATATTATATATTATTTAACTAATTAAAATGCAAAATGAGATTATTATCCTTTAAACTGTAGGCTCTTCCAGGCAAATTTTCCTGAAAAATTATCATAAATATTGTTATGATCTACTTTTTTTAGTTTTTAATATATTTAAATAAAATTTTTTTTGATAATATTTGAAAATAAGGATTATATTATAGCAGTATTTAATTTTA